AATGGGATCGTGCCATATGACCGCCTCCCCCACAGCACCTCATTAGATTATCAGACTCATTGATTATTTGAAAACCTACTTATTTCTTAAATTCCTAGTTTTGTTAGAGATGGGTTTCTAATCACCCCCCCCCCATATCAAACCTACTGGGCAATTTGCAGACAGACAGGCAGACAGGCAGAAATAATCGGCAGGCCGAGTGACCGATGGTTCAAATAACGAAGTGGTACTTTCTTTAATGTGATACTGTGAAACTCTTGAGTACATCTGTTTATACATCAACAACAGGCGATGCTCATGCGCTTCGCACTTTGACTGGATGGTACTGTGCGATGCGCATATGCCTCACATCCGCTTTATCGATTTTGTGGGCATGCGCGAGTTCATTTCTAATTTTTTGTAGAAGGTATGGCCCACAGAACTGATAGGTATTTTTCACTTGGACAAAAATTTCCTGGGCTTTCTCAAAGTTTCATTAGTTTTATTCTTTTTATTTCATGAGCACGTGCATAGAAAGAGTAGCAGAAGCGAACACGAAGTTCCGTGGATAGCCATATATGGTTTTTGGATCAATCACGGCATTAACACTTCTGACGTCTACTGTAGCGGGAGTAAATAGCTTCTGCTTCATCGCTACTTGCCCTATTTGAAATCAGTTGTTCGATATCGCACAGTAGCGCGATCACCATCGCATCTGAACGGTAGACGACATCGCGCGTTTTGGCTTCTTCGAACCCGGCACAATTTTGTGGCGCCACCCTCACCTCACATTTGTGGGTTTTGACTGATAAATACACAAAACGGTGGTACGAAATAATAAACAATATAAAATGTGGTGAGATTTTACAGGGTGATAGCTCCAAAACTATATTGGACGTGGTTGTTTCGGTAGCAACTTTTGTCTATCACCCGAATAGGCTTGTACTTACTTCTAATACATACTCCTTTTTTATTTACATGTTAATGTTGGTAAAGAAAACGAGGAATGAGTTTAGCTGGCATTTATCTGAAGCTTGGGAAACGTTTGCCACACTGATACATATTTGACCAATCTGTGAACCACGCCATTTATAACTTTTCAATGTTTGGTCTATGGAACGAACATAAAAAACTCCGGAAGAAGTTGGGCATGTGCGAAAAGATGGGTGCGGCATACATAGCTGCCACAGTGTCCCACGTGGCCGCCGCGTAACTGTGTTAAAGATGACTGAGTAAGACATTGGAAAAGGCATTTGATTAATACGAAACGATCGCCGTGCCACTTCTAATGATGTTGTTAGTATGAAATTTTATCTGCGCATGAAGACTTTTCTGAGATAAGGAGTCTTATAGATGACAGTTTAGCTCCGCCCGCTACCGCGCGCATGACACGGAAGCCTCTGACAAAACTGACAATCGGTGAAGCTTTGGGTTTCACCGCTTAACTATAGCTGCTTCGTTAAATGCATTACTGTCCGTTGCCCATCTTGGCTGTATCTCACTGTTTGATAAGCGCAGTGAAGTGCACAGCTAAAGTGATGTATGTAAACAACCACCATGCATCGAGAATCGAGGAAATTTAGCGGTCGAATAATTTTTGGTAATCTCAAGACGGAATGCCCAGTATTCACTATCAAATTTATTAGAGCATCCCATTCATCCTCAAGAACTCTAGAAGGTGTAGCGGTTGAAAGGTGTTTGAATTTACAATTATAACGCTAATGAAATGATATTGAAATGAAATGCATTATCTGCAATCTGGTTTCGAGTAATCTCTACGTTCGTACGCATATCGTAATTATCAGTCCTCATCTGTCGTTATCACTTTTTGACCCCCACAAAATATGTTACCGTCCAACCCCCATATCATGTCCCAAAATCAGTTCCTGACGACTGCTGCGAAGCGCACTATGAATTTTGTGAAAATTGTGTTTCAGCGCCCTGACGACCACTGGTGCCCGAGCTATGAATTTCGCGACACTTGCGTTCTAGCGCCTTTTATCAGCCCTTATCAGTTGTGATCACTTTCTTTACCCCACCAAATATGTTCCCGTCCCACCCCCTATATCATATCTTGAAACCAACTCCTGACGACCACTGGTGCCCGAGCTATGAATTTCGCGACACTTGCGTTCTAGCGCCTTTTATCAGCCCTTATCAGTTGTGATCACTTTCTTTACCCCACCAAATATGTTCCCGTCCCACCCCCTATATCATATCTTGAAACCAACTCCTGACGACCACTGGTGCCCGAGCTATGAATTTCGCGACACTTGCGTTCTAGCGCCTTTTATCAGCCCTTATCAGTTGTGATCACTTTCTTTACCCCACCAAATATGTTCCCGTCCCACCCCCTATATCATATCTTGAAACCAACTCCTGACGACCACTGGTGCCCGAGCTATGAATTTCGCGACACTTGCGTTCTAGCGCCTTTTATCAGCCCTTATCAGTTGTGATCACTTTCTTTACCCCACCAAATATGTTCCCGTCCCACCCCCTATATCATATCTTGAAACCAACTCCTGACGACCACTGGTGCCCGAGCTATGAATTTCGCGACACTTGCGTTCTAGCGCCTTTTATCAGCCCTTATCAGTTGTGATTTCTTTACCCCACCAAATATGTTCCCGTCCCACCCCCTATATCATATCTTGAAACCAACTCCTGACGACCACTGGTGCCCGAGCTATGAATTTCGCGACACTTGCGTTCTAGCGCCTTTTATCAGCCCTTATCAGTTGTGATCACTTTCTTTACCCCACCAAATATGTTCCCGTCCCACCCCCTATATCATATCTTGAAACCAACTCCTGACGACCACTGGTGCCCGAGCTATGAATTTCGCGACACTTGCGTTCTAGCGCCTTTTATCAGCCCTTATCAGTTGTGATCACTTTCTTTACCCCACCAAATATGTTCCCGTCCCACCCCCTATATCATATCTTGAAACCAACTCCTGACGACCACTGGTGCCCGAGCTATGAATTTCGCGACACTTGCGTTCTAGCGCCTTTTATCAGCCCTTATCAGTTGTGATCACTTTCTTTACCCCACCAAATATGTTCCCGTCCCACCCCCTATATCATATCTTGAAACCAACTCCTGACGACCACTGGTGCCCGAGCTATGAATTTCCGGTCAGACAGACAAACACACACACACACACAGACACACACACACAACCGCTTAGCCGATTATATATAGTAGGATATTATATGATATTATAGCTAAGGCTACCATTGGAAGATATGGCACGCTGAGGTTAGTCTTCTGCAACTGCTCACATGTGTTACTGTTAGAATTTGTCAGCCATGGAATTCGGGAGCTAGAAATTCTCGAAAGGCGACTCGCGATGAAGAACACTTCAGCCCATCAATCAAGCGGAATTTACAGTTAAGATCAGAGGGTCAGGACTTTCACCCGTTCACCGACCTCCTCAGATATGGTAAGCCCCTTGAGCATATGAGTGAGAGGCCCAGACAACTTTTAGCATGACCCTTTGGCAAAGAGAGCCTTAGAACTGAACACGCCTTGCTCTCAATACTTTGGGAAGGGAAATCCGTTTTTTGTACTTCCCGTCCTGTTCAGTCGAGCTAAACTTTGGCTCCAGATGTATCAAACAGCGAAATGCCCTTATTGCGGTACAGACGATCCTGGCACAATCATAACTGAGGGATATCAAATTTGGCAGCTATGGTCGCAATCATACTTGGGTCGACCTGTTTCATCCTTTACTGCTTGCTAAATGAAAATATCTAGTGCAGACTTACCAGAAGGCTTTTATAAAGTTTCTTCGCCCAATCTCGCTTACGCATCCTACGTAATTCGATGATGTCAGGTTTTGCAGACTTTACAGCACCAGGTAAGTCTTCATCGCTCTCATGGATGGTGGAAGATCTCTTTTTGCTGATTCCTTAACGAGATATTAATATCGTAAGAAAAACTGAGAAGAATTACGGTAGACTAACTTGTTGGTGAACCATCCGAAGAACTGGAACGACTTTGCGGAGACGATGAATAACCATACAAATAGTAGGAAATCATGAACGCCAAAACACCAGAGATCATCAGCGTGAACAAAATTAAGAGAACCTGAGCGATGAAAATCACTTATTGCCAGGTTCGCAAAACAGAAAGAAAAAAATGGTTGCGACTCACGTTCGTCCAAAGAAAGAAAAAAATCCCAGTGACGGGCGAAAGTATGGTAGAAAACAACGACATTGTAGATGGCGATGGCACTGCTACTGATTCACATGTGAAATACTGTATCTGAAACTCGACTCAATTAAAATGTGACCTTCTGGGAGTTCCGTACTTTTCAAGAAGCGGAAGGCGGCCGCGCCTGTAAGCATGAGTTTTGCCGTTTTTCTGAAACTTTACAACTTCAATTAGATAGAAATGGAAATAATATCTGCAAGTTTCTGTGAGGATTATAATTATTTTTGGCCCTCTCCCTCCGTTAAACATTAACTTAGCTGATCTTCATCTCAAAAAGGATCGCAGGTGATTGACTGAGTCCAGCCATTGTCGACAAATGATAAGCCCAAATCAAATTATCATTGACTTGGGGGGGGGGG